ATAAGCCTGAGATGAGCAGAACAATAGATGTTTTGTTCCCTCTGTCCCTTTTCCCTTTTTTATGGCATACATGTCTTGTTCTTGCTCTATCTTCAGTCAGCCATGTAGTTTGGGGAGAAATGATTCTGTTCCAGGATTAGGAGTTGATTGGCTTAAGTTAGTCAGTGTAAATCATGCCCTTGGCCATGGAGGATGGTTCATGTAAGGACACAAACATTTTTTTTTTTTTAAGGCAGTATGTTCAATGACACTCTTCACTCAAAAACTTCACTTTCAGGGGTAGACTTAACTGTATGTAGCATCGGGTGTCTTTCAGTGTATCAGATAAACACAGTGATAGTGCAAAATTCTAGTTGGAATTATTAAAGGGCACAATGCATGTGATTCAGGAAAAGAAGAGAGGGATTCTGACCTGTTCTGGGAGCAGAAAAGAAAAGAAGGGAACCTGTTGTAGCCTGAACAGAAGTTATGTCCAGAGTAAAAGCCAGTGAAATAAGAAATGGCATACAAAAGCAAATTTATTGGCGTTTAGGAAACATTGTCTATTTCATTCATACTTTTAAAATCCTGGTTATATTGTACATTAGAAAGAATGCTTGGCTATCAATTATTAGAAAAACCTAAGTCAAGAAAAACCCCATCACCAAAGGTCATTGTGTGTTTTTCATTCATACAATCTCAAGTCATAAGACTTGAAATGAAAGACTGAGATGGAATGAAGGTAATCACTAAAGAACTCAAAGGAAGGAAGGAATCTACTGCTATCAGAATAGGTACATACAATTTTGCCTGTTCAAAACCATATCAGAGCTGGGCATGGTGGTGCATGCCTGTAATCCTAGCAGCTCAGGAGGCTAAGGCAGGAGGATTGCAAGTTCAAAGCCAATCTCAGCCACTTAGAAAAGCCCTAGGAAACTTAGTGAGACCCTGTCTCAAAATAAAAAATAAAATAGGCTGAGGATGTTGCTCAGTGGTTAAGCATTCCTAGGTTCAATCCCTGGTATGAAATATATACATATATCTCAAAAGCTTAAAGATATGACCACACTCTTATGGTGTTTGAATTAGAAACAGATGAATAAAAATTCATGGATGGTTGTCCTCTTACCCAGTGATCAACAGTGCTTGAACCAGTAAGATATACTTGTAGGCTGCCGGTACAAGACAGGCTGATGGAGTTTGGGACCTCAAGGATTATTTTAAAGAAAGATATCTATGAGCCAAATACTTGAGTTTGCCTATAACCCGTGGCTTTAAATTGGCATGCACAGAGACTTCAGATCTGCATGCAGTGGCAAACAAGGCTTTCATTTAGACCCTATACATTTAGCATGGTGCCTATAATATTTTATCTACTAGAAAAGCTGGCAGGTTGCCATTATTTTATATGGTACTCTCTGAAACACTGAATATCAGTTTTGATTCTTGTTAATGTGAATAGGTAGATACAAATATTTGAAGTACCTTCTGAGAGTATCTATAATGAAGTAGAAAAAACACTAATAAAGCAGCCTAGAAAATCTGTAGATAGAGTAGAATAAGACCAAGGAATGGTAAGACATAGATATAAATGCCATAACATATGGATCCACCACAGTTCCTACAATCATCTGCAAATTTGGCTTTGAGTCTCCTGCTAGCCAAAGCACAAAGAGTAACAGGGACACTTAACACAATGTTTCACATTGTCAAGAAGGAATAGGGATATCTGTGTTTTTTTATGGGGGAGGGATTTCCACATACAAATATAACTAATTAGTTTTGGAAGCATTTAAACCACCATTAGAACAATTATTTTCCTTTATATGGCACATAATACTTTGTGGAGTAATTTCACATACTTTATTTAATTTGCACCAAAAAATCCCTATGATATAAGATTTGAATACAGTATTATTAAAGTAACAGGTATCTCTCACTCATGAATCTAGGAACCTTGTCTAGCTGGGAACCCAGCACAATGAATAGAAAATAAGCAGAATGATCTCTGAGTTAGCAAACCAAATGGCAAGTTTATGCATGGAAACGAACCTCTCATTTGGGACCTATATTCTCTTATATAACCTAAAATTCTAACAAGGTTAGCTAATTTCCCCTTTAAAACTACAGTGGTTTAAAAGTATTAAAATAGAAACTATTATAGAGAAACTATTACAGATGCATCCCCAAAATGGCTAGGTATGAAAGTAGAGGTGAGAACTAAAACAAAGGAGCTGTTGTAGGGACAAACAAGGCAAGGCACTGAAGATAGCAGAAAACAGTTTTTTGGTTTTTTTTGTTTTTTTTTTTTTTGGCTGCAGCCAGGTTCAGAGGGAACAGCTTTTGCTGTAATCAATTAATCCCATGAACCCCGAGTTCAGGGAGTTTCAGAGTTTTACACCCAGCATGGAAGGGGAGGGGCTCAGAAGTTCACAGTCTGCAGAAGTTCACATAAAAGCAGCTTTTTCTTTCTCTGTTTTGGGCAAGTTAACCCTTCAAGGACAACACCTGAGAAGGGGAGAGTTTCTTCTCCCCTTTCTTTCCTCCCCTGCCAGCTGTTACCATGGAACCCATTTGTAACATCTTAAAAATGTAGACATCTCTGTGAAGCCCAGCTCAAGGCCAGAGCCTTGTTTGCACATTTCTTCAAAGTACTATACTGGATATGTTTGTGAAAAACTAGTAAGGGGGTGTCCAGCACCTGGAGTGCTGGTATCTTCTCGGCCAGTGGCCAAGTAAACAGGGCGACACGAAAATAGGAAGTTTATCTACATTGAACTCTTTTGCAGAGACTCTTTTGCTGACAATCCTAAAATCAGTCTGGGTGAAGATTTCTGGAGAGACCCAGTTAAGACTTTTCAGTGGAAAAAGGAGGTGCCACTTCAGAGCAGTTAGTATAGACTCAGAAAACCCTGCCAAGTACACTAAGTAGGGAATGCAGTCATGACTCAGTTTCCCCACCCTGGACCTTGAACCTCCACTAACCAGCTCTTCACATAATTACCTCTGCAATCTTTCAGGAACAGAAATGTGATGCCGTTTTCCCAATCCCAATTTTTAAAATCCTTCAGTGGCTTTCTAGGCTAATGAGATAAAAATCCTATTTAAAAGGGACCACAGGGCTGGGGTTGTGGCTCAGTGGTAGAACTCTCACCTAGCATGTGCAAGGTGCTGGGTTCAATCTTCAGCACCATATAAAGATAAATAAATAAGATAAAGGTATTGTGTGTGACTACAACTAATATATATATATATATATATATATATATATATATATATATATATAAAATAAAAGGGACCACAAGGTCCCAGCAGGTCTGGTAGCTGCCTGCTTCACCACCCTCCTCTTACTTGGGTCCCACCTGCTTGCACTTTTTCGCTGCTACCTCTCCTGTGCGATCCCAAATGTCATCACCTTAGAAAATCTTACCTAGTATTGGTGACTAGATTAGGTTTCCCTGTGCGTCTTTAGCAATTAGATTGGAGAATATGCTAAACTATACAGTCGCTCCTAACTAGTTTCATTCTTTGATGATATTTCCTCTAGTATACTGTGAGCTCTGGTGAAACAAGGACATTTCTGACTTTTATATGTGCTGAATAAATATTTACTGAATAAAATGAATAGGTAATGTCACAGGACCAGCATGCTGCAGCTTCCTGGTATATATAATATTTACATTTTACTAAAAGATCCTTTTAGGGAGGGCGGAGATATGGTTTTATTTATTAAAGCAAAGAAATTTATTATGGAACAGAGTGCAAAATTCATATGAAATTTAAAGCTAAACAAGACTTCCAGAATGTTTCTGGCTACACTCCCGATTTTTCCAGAGGCATTGTGCTTAAAATAATGTAGAAACACTGTGTGGAAAAGATCTATTTCCCAAAGGATCAGGATAATCAAGGGTTATCTTTGTTTTAATAGATAAGAATACGTGTATGAAGAGGGCTTTGCCAATATAAGTTTACGTGCCAAAACAACTTTATTATTATTGAGAACTCTTTCCTGAAATGGGGGAATTAAGCTAATACATCGCCAATTACAGGTGGAGCTGGCTCCAGAACCCCTGCCTCCTGGGGCCTGTCCAGCCCACTGCTTTTCATTAAAGCGCAGCACCTGCCACCTGGTCCCTGCTGCAAAGGGTCCCCACCCTCCTGATCTAGAAGCCATATCTGGGGCAGAAGGCCTGTGCCAGGCTCAAAGACACTTTAAATTCTGATCTACCAAAACTGAGCAGCAAGTAGGAAAATCAAGCTGAGCCTTTCCCGGCAGCATAATCCAGAGCCTTTCTGCTTTCCCTGGTGGGACTGGGCAGTTCCCCTCCTGGGCTGCAAATCCGGCCAGCTTTGCTGGAGCCCAAATCCGCACGACTCTCCCCCTTGCGGGGAAAATGTGCAATGCAGTGCGTTCCGGAGACAGCGTCTATCTCCTTTTTGAAGTACAGGCAGTATTTTAAGGGACCTGAGAAGCTGGAAAGCTCGGGAGTAACTTCCCGTAGGAGTCGGCGCTGAAGCCTGACTTCGTGGTCCTCAGGGTGGTTACTTCCTACGTGCAGAGTTTGACCACAGCTGCTGGTTAGGAACCTTGGCCCTCCCCGCTTAGGCTGCTGCAGAGACGGGTGGAGGTGCCTGTCAGTTCCCTCGGAAACGCAGCCCATTTTCTCCTCTGGGAGCCCGGCTGAGAGCTGAGGCATGTTTCGCCCACCGGAACCTGGGTGCTAGAGGCGGGGGCACACCACGCGCCCACCCGCGCAGAAGCTGCGGCGGGGCGACCAGCAGCCCATGGAGTACACTGGCGCCACTGCCTCCGGCTCGCGCGCCGCGCGTGCACGCGGGTGGGCGTGGGAAGCAGGGGCGCTACTAGCTCGCGGCGTGCGCGCGCCCTCACTCGCAGGCGGGCCCGGCCCGGCCCCAGCGCGCGTCACGAGGGGCAAGCAGGCAGGCGGGCGGCCGGGCGGGAGGGAGGGGTGAAGGGGGTGGGGCCGCCGGACCGGAGGGGCCCGAGCGGCTGCTGCGGAGCCGGAGCAGAGCTGGGCGAGGGCGGCGGCGGCGGCGCCGGCGGCAGCGGCAGCAGCAGCAGGAGAAGATGGTGGCGCTGGAGGTAGGAGCGGCTGGAGCCGAGCTTTATTCCCAGGCTCCGCACCATCGCTGTCATTAGCGCCTACTGCTCCCGCGGGCCCGTGGACCCAGCTGTCAGGCAAGGTACCACCGACAGGGAGGGGTGGGTACGTGGTGGTGCTCGGCGCTGATGCCGCCCCAGATGGGAGTCCTGGTCCTCTCCTAAGGGCGCTTCTGGGCGCAAGAGGCTCTGCATGGAACAATAGTATGGATGAACAGGGACAGCAGGCTACATCCAGGGGGCAATGCCTTAGCCAGCGAGGCGAGGGAAGGGGACATTGGAAGAGAGATGTCGGGTGTCCGGTGCGCGCTGAGGTACCGGAGCTTTGGGGGCAGCGAGCGGGCCCGATGACAATCATGGCAGGAGTGTGTGTGTGTGTGTGTGTGTGTGTGTGTAAGTACAGCAGAGGGTATGGGGGTGGTGGACCAGAGGTGTTGGGGAATGACATTTCCAGGAATCCCCACTAGGATCCTTCATATCTGGGCTGACTCTCGGGGAGAAAGAATGTGATGATGGAAACGGTGAGGTGGGCTGGAGGCACTGGGTGTGCGAATTGTTGAGGGAGGCAGTGGGGTAGAGGCGGGTTTGTAAAATCCCGTGGAAGTGTGCGTACGCGTGTGGTTGCATCCACGCTCCTAAAATTGCGCCCCAAATCAAGAGATCTGCCGGTGCCTAACCTCATGTCACCAGCTAACACTGTGGGACAGTGTTTGTTATTTTGACCCTGCAACTCTGAGTACAGTCTCTGTTCTGCTTTTGCGTGTGGATGGCCCAGAGTAGGAATTCTATCTTCCCCTTTCTCTGGCCTCATGACGTGGGGATGTGGAAGTGAGCGTGTGGCTTTGGGGCACATGGTAGGGAAAGAGGATAATGGTTACACATTCTGGGCTTGCTAGTATCCCTTGTTTTGAAGGGTTTCTCTCTTGATACTTCTCTCCTCAACTGCTGTTCTGTAAGGGTCTTGGACTCCCTGACTCTGCAGTTTCTATTGTTTATCTCTTGTCTAACCTGAGTCTCTAACTATAGATCACCTTCCTCTCCCCTTCCTCACAACTTTGAATGCCAACCAGACCTTGTCCTTCTACATTTGAACACTGAAATCCTATGGCTGAAGGATGGGTAGTCTTTGTGTTGGTTATTTTAGAATGAACTCTGGCGGTGTGTAGAGAGAGATAGATGGGGGAGGAGTAAAAAGGAAGAGAAAGATCTACTGAGAAATATTTGGGGTCCACTTTCTGAACATCACACAGCCAAGGTGTTTCCCTTGGGAAATGGGATACTTTATTTCTACTGCTGGTAACATTCACTCTCCCAGCTTTCACAATGGCTAGTTAGTACCGTGTATCATTGAAGAATTGTAATCTTTCAAGACTGTGGGGATGGGATCTCTGATCAGTGAAGTCCTTGCTTTTCTACCTGATGTAGCACACTAGTAGGGAATTTAGTAAATGTCAGGCTTCCAGGCTGGGGCTGGAAGCCAGGACACAGAAATGCATACAGAGTCCATAGCTGTTTTAATTGTCTCTGCATGATAAAGATAGGCTTCTGTAGGGTCGGATGGATAGAAATAGGAAGGGAGATGGTAAATTCATGTGTGTCCACTGCAGTTTGACTCCTTGCTGTCTGTATTTCTCCTGCAGCACTCGTAGGAATGAAGGCACCTTTGTGCTTAATATCTTGGTACTTCTTTATTAAAATGTTGTATGACTAGATTAACCTGCTTAGGACACATTTTGGTCATAACACCCTAAATTCTACTGCATTGCTGTCAGAATCTAAACTGGCTGCTCTGGTTCTCTTTGAAGAAAGCTTGTAGCCATTGTGGTCTTTAAAAATAAATGCACAACACGTTGGCACCAAGGTTTCTTTTAAAAAATTGCTGTTTGTTTTTTGGCAAATATTGCATGAATTCATTGTTACATTGAAAATAATAAAACTAGAGCTATCCACATATGTTTACTCCCCCCATTTATCTTCTCTTAATTAATGATGATATATAGACCAGGTGCTCTGGAAGCCATCAACATTAAGTAAATTTTCCCATGTCCTTCAAGTCAAGCCTTCTAAAATTTTAATGTGAGGTTGTTGGATCTCATCCAAAATTAAGGATAGATTTATAAAAATGAATTTTGAGTCTTAGTTCTTTACTCTCTTATTGTTTCTGCCAAACCTCTTTCTGAGAAAAGTACTTATGAAATTTAAAATCATTCTAAGGGGTTTTGGTTTAAAAAAAAGTCATCATTTTCATATTTGCAAGTAAAACCAGAGATGTAACCGCATTATAAGAAAGTTTAAGAATTTAGAAATTACCAAGGTAAATAACCTGTTTAGCAAACAAGGAATTATACAACAGCATGATTAATGACGTGGAAATTAGTGATTTCCTTTCTAATGTAAATGGGATAATTTTTAAAATGTAATGCCTGGCTTTTTTAAATATTGGGCTGGTAAGGCTAATGATATAGCTCGAATCTGTAATTCAGCCTGGTAAACGGTTATACCTTGTGCCATAGCCTGCAGCAAGGTATTTGTTTTGCGTGGATGCCCTTTCTTCACTTAAAATAGCATTAATGCTTTTTTCATTATTGAGTCTCTTTTTTAAAAAGTTTGGTTTTTTTTTCCTTCCCCAGAAGACATGGAAGTAAGACATTTGAAAATTGACCTGTGGGGCCAAAAGGAATAAACTATGGTCCCATGGGGGGAAATCAGGCCTTTTTATCCTGAGAGGAACAAGTAATGGAGAGAATGGCAATCAGTGGAAACAGACTTCCTTTTCAATAAACCTGGTGGAAAGGAAGACTGGAGGAGAGAGTAATAAGTCAAAGAGATGTCACAGTAGAGGGAAAGGAATACGTTTAGTATAGAGGACTCGAACCTACTGTATAAGCTCAGGAGAAGAATCACTGAGAGGGAGAGAGATGGAGAATGTAACGGGGAGGCTCAACTGATGAAGTCTTCGAGAAGATGGGCAGGAGGGTACTGGGGAAGGTATGACTTGAGACAGAGGCAGAGGAATTTTGAGGTGGAAAGAAGGGAATTTGTCCATAGTCTTTTAAGGAACATCAGAAAAGATGTGGCAGGTTGAGGCTAGGAGTAGAATGACAAAGACTTGTGTGCATTGTGGAAATTTAGCAGTGAATCCATTGGGGTGATTAAAAGATTATCAGGCAGCTATGAAGACTGCTTGTGTTTGAAGAGCATGAATTTGTAGTAGAACCAATTAGTGCTATATAATTAGGGTTTGACAATTACTTAGGTAGTTTTTGTAACAGTATTTAATGTTGCTACATTCAGAGGTTCCCTCCTTTCCTTAAACTCAGGGAGGAAAATGTTACCTTTAAAATAATCTGAATAAAAGACTGCACTTGAAAAATTTCATATGCATATTTTCTCTGAGGAATCTGAGTTAAATGAATAAGGCTTATAATAAAATAATGGGGAAAAAGATAAATATTTCTAAAAAAGATTAACTTTCCCCATCTAATTATAAACTGTGGCTTTCATAATAAATTGTAAAGTTGATTTTTTTCAAAAGAAAAATCAAATATAGAATCTCACTTAGAACCATACTGATCATATATATTTTTCACATGAATACATGAATAAATTATTTTAGTAAGCTAGGTGTAGGGTCTGAAATCTGAAATCTCAGGATTTCTTATTTATATACTTAACATTGAATGAGTCACATTCCATGGCTTCTATAAGTTTATGATATTATTAAAACAGTTTTATTGATTTATACCTACTATGTATGTTGAAACTTGTCCAAACAGATAAAAACACACACACACTTTTTTTTCCCACAAAATAATTGTGTCCACTTTAGAGCCTTGTGACCCTTGTGTTATGGGGTTGTGTCATGATTCCAGATGAGTTTATAGAACTTCAACTGTAGTGCATGATAATTTTGAAGTTCTGATGACAAATTTATTTCTTCTTTAAACAAGTATTTATTGAGCACCCTCTTTGGGCCAGACACTATTCTAGATGAAGGGAATACATGCAAGGTTGGGGAGAGGTCCCTAATATAACAGAGCTTTTAGTGGGCGAAGATGAAAAATAGATAAGCAAGTATATAATATGTCAGGTGGTACAAGCTATGAAGACTAAAACAGGGAAAGCAATAGGGTGGGACATTACATAGGGTAATGTTATTTTATGTAGGGTAGTCAGGGAAGGCCTTAAGCAGAGGGAGCTTAAGGATCTGAAGGAGTGAGACATGCAGCTATTTGGGATAAAGGTTTTCTAAGTGGAAAGAATATTCAGAGTGAAGGGCTTGAGGTAGGAACATGCTTGATGTGATCAAGGGATAAGGAAGCATCCCAGGTTCACCTGGACGTGTGGTACCTTACTGCACAGATGGAACAGTCACTTAGGATGTCTATGAAAAGATGCTTTGCCTTTTAGTATTGAACTGGTCACCCTTCATGCTGTATCACCCCCCACCATATTTAGGATGACCTGTGAGGCAGAATAGTGTTTAGAAAAGAATGAATGTTTTCAACCAAACAGATTAGTATTAGAAAACTTGAAGAGTGACTCTGAGTGGTGACTAAATACTAGTCATTTAGAAGTAGTCCCTCTCCTTGGAATTTCCACATCATTTTTTCGTGGTCTGAATCTTTAAATGTAAGTTTCTTGTCTTCCTCCATGTTTCACATTCTATTCTCAAGAGTTAACATCCTTGAAGCTAGAACTCTGCTTTGTTCATCTGGGTATACTTTACAACACACAGAAAAACTCTTTGTGGTGGTAAGAGATTAAATACTTACTGAAAGGAATGGAGGAGACATTCCAAAAGTTTTAAGGAACGTGGATGCAAAGATTGAGGGTAATTTTTTTTTTTTTACCTGACTTCTGCAGACAGCTAAATGTTCTCCAAAGAAGACCCAAAGTCACCTCATGATGCTGATGTGGTGGATACACACAGAAGTGATTCATACATGCAAACCTGAAACGAGGATTTGGGTCCAGATAGTTTATTGGGGAGGCAAGTTCAAGAAGCACAAGTGCAATTGTGAATAAAATGAGGCAGGGAGGGGAAGAGAGTGAGGAAGAGTGGGGTTACTGAGCAGGCCAC